AGTCAAATCTTGATCCTTTTTTTTCTTTTCTTGCCACGCGAAGCACAACTTTCATTGAAATGTAGATTTACGATCTAAATACAATCGCGGACATTTTGATAGGTCATAATGATCGATGTGAAATGTGTGAAGAATTAGTCATTGCTTTTTAAAAAGTAAACGTTCAATCTGGCCACACATACATTTTGTTTAATTTATTGTCTCTCTCTCTCTTTATGAAGGGCAACCACCTTTCCATACTAGATTGATTGCCGATTTGGTAGAGCTTTATATTTCTACCATCACCCACCCATCCTCCCAATCAATGTCTGACCTCGACACAAGTTTTGTTTTACAATCCCTTGCATTATCTTTACCCGTTTCTTCCTCTCAGTTTTGACTAGCTTTCTACCTTGTTCTCATCTTTTTTGTACAATTGTGTGTCTGTTCTGTGAACGACATCTCAACATTTAGATATCTCTCCCCTCATTTCTCTCTCTTGCGATCTCTTTCAATCTTCTCATTCTTCTCTAAGCTCTCTCATTTCTTCTTCTCTACTCTCACCATTCCCTCTCTATACCTCTTTCATTTATCTAGCCCCTTCTAGGTTCATCTAATTCCATCTACCTGGTTTTATATCCCTCGATTTTAAATTTATAAACCCTATTCCTTTTATATCTGGTACATGTCTTTGTGTATCCGGTGTTTCTTTTCCCACTACCTAAACAATATAGATACCATGATGGACCGTGTTTATTTTTAAAAAGTGGCAATTTTCAAGCTCCTTTTGTTATCATGTATCCACACACCTGACCGGAAACTCAAAGAAAGCTGTGCAACTCTTTTGTAAACACCCTTCTAATTGTTTGTTGTGATTGAGGGACTTGCTCCCATCGACGGATTAGCTAATCAGCTAACGTGGCAAATTATGTTCTCTATTTATGCTGTTTAATCCCATGTTAAATGAAGCACATTTATCAATGGGTGGGTATGGAAGGAAACCAAATAGGCCCTACATGTTAAGATATAAAGTGATTTTGTTCTTTTCAAAAGCTCGTTTTATTATTGTGAAAGAAATTAATACGAAACTGTTAAATGCATGCGTAGTCAGCTTAATCAAGTTAAAATTACAAATTAATTAATTCGACAGTATTTGTACCCGTTTTATAAAAACCTTATCATCGAATATGACAGTTTACGCGTGCAGGAAAAGAAAAGATAGGTATACCCCTATTATTACAAGACCAGCTTTTTATAAAGTTTTATGCAAAAAAAGGTTTGAAAACAACAGGCGTCGTGTTTCTAATGTCTTAGAATTCAGTGAACGTGGACATTTTGGAACTCTCCGAATTAATTCCTAGATGGGACACTTACATTGTATTTGTTGAGATCCTCTTGAATAGGCGGATTAGGCAAAAGGTGGTAGCAGAGGAAAAGTCTCTTGTAACTTTTCTTGCTCACATAGGCGCAACAAGTTTCGATGGAAATGTAAATTTACGATCTAAATACGAGTCGCGGACATGTTGATAGCTCATAATTATTAATGATCGGAGTGGAATGTGCGAAGAAGTGGTAATTGCTCTTTGAAAGTAAACATTCAATCAGGCCACACATACATTTATTATTTCTTTTCTCTCTCTCTCTCTCTCTCTATGCTCGGCAACCAACTGATTGCCGATTTACCCTTTCCATCACCCACCTCTCCTCCGGTCCTCTCCCTCTCTAACTTTGACACAAGTTCTGTAGCCCCCCCCCCCCCCCCTAATCTAAGATTGATAGGTAAAAATGACAGAAGGAATTTATTTGAAAAGTCATAATTATATTCTCAGATTCTGGGTAACCATTTTTTTATTGTACGTATACTCTTCATATTGAGAATTATCCTTCGTTTTTGGATACCATAATACTATATTACAATTTTAGTGCCATCAATAATTTCGTTTTCTTTCTCTCTCTCTCCTAACTATATCTTGCACGCACGTGTGCCAATGGTGATTATGTTGATGACGGGGGAGGGGGGGGGGGGGGTCCAACCAAATCTCTCAATAATGACTCCATCCCCGAAAAAGCGAAGGTTTTTTTTCCTTTTTTTTTTTCTCAGCAAGAGAGAGGGGGAGAGCACACAAACAAAAGGGTTTTCAACATGGCTAGAACTTTGAATTAAGTCATGATTTCTAAAACTAAAATGATTCAAATTGCTATCCTGTTATTTGTTTTCCCTCTTTATTCTCATTCTTTGCACCATTTCAGCTTATTCGGTTCCAGTTCGTTAACTCGGAGTCTACCCGTTCTTAATCGTTTAACCCCTCATTCTTATCAATATTGGTCAGTTTACCGCCCATATCCCGTTACGATCTTCCCGGCATATTCCTGATGAGCGTTCATCGCCCATTGGCGTTGGAATTGGAGAACCATCCTTTTGTTATACCACGCTCAAATCGGGGCTCAAATAATCATTCTATTGTCTAATAATACCTTGCATTATCTTTCCCGTATCTTCCCCCTGTCAGTTTCGAACAACCCCTCTATCTTGTTATCATCCTTTTCCACCCGTATGTCAACTTAAACACAATAGTTTTATCTGTTTCTATGCACGACATCGTAACGTTTATACATTGGACAGAATATTATTGTCCATAATAATTCACCAGACCTCCCCCCCCCCCCCCCAACGTATAGGCATTACCCCTTTTCTCCTTCTCTCTCTCTCTCTCTCTCTCTTATTACAATCTTTCAATCTACTCGGCCTTCTCTACTCTCGCCACCCCCCCTACCTCTTCCATTCGACTTTTTTACCCTATAAATAATACTCACAAAAATTAATAATCTAGCCCCTCCTTCTACCCCACTGAAGTCTACATAACTACCCATGCTCTTCTATCCCTGTTCTATCTCTCAATGCTACCCTCGCCCCTCTCTATCCCCTTCCCATTCTTCTCTTCCCATACCTCTCTTCTTCTCTGTCCCACTTCTCCCTCGTTTGCTCGTATCTCTACTGCACCCCCCCCCCCCTCTCTCTCTCTTCTACCCAACGCCCTATCTTCAAACCTCGCCCTCTCCATCGCATTTCTCTCTTTCTATCTCAAGTTGGCTTTCTCTCCTCACCCTCCATCTCTTAGATTCATCTTCGAGCTCCCTTTAAAAAAAATGTATCCAACAAAGGAAAGAATAAGTAAACCGATTGTTTTATTAGTCGTCGGTTTAAAAATTTAAGGTTCATAATCTTGATTTTTTTTTTTTTTAAAGTTCTGTTACAACCCTATTCCTCTTATATCTGGTCTTTGTGTTTCGTTTCTTTTCCCACTTCGATAAAAACAACACAGAAGCCATCGGAGTTCATACATGTAAAAGGGTCATTTTCAGCTTTCAAGCTCCTTTTGTTATCATGTATTGACAGCACTCCTTTGTAAACGTCCTTCTAGGATAAAGGGACGTAATGTTCGTCAATGGATTATTTAATTCTCAAACGTGGCACAAAGGCATTCAATAATGCTGTTTAATCCTATGTAAAAATGTAAATGATTTCTATTATTTCTAGCAATGAAAGGATATCAAAGATTGTTGTTTGTTTTATAAAAACTTGTTTTATTATGAAAGAAATGAATACAAAACTATTGAATGCGTGCCTTATCAGCTTTAAAAAGTTTTTTTTTTTAAATCTCAATAACAAAATATACAGTAATTTACCCGTTTCATAAAAACCTCTCATCGAATTTGAAATTTAACTTGTGCGGTTACATAAATAATAGGTATATAATATATACGCCTATAATTAAAAGAACAGCTTTTCATATTCTATGAAAAAAATGTTTTTGGAAACAACAAAATTACATAAAACTAAATTTCTATCAATGACGAAACAAAGTCGAAAGCTTAGTAAATAATTGCCATATTTTCCGTTTTCACATCGTTTCATGAAAAGTGTTTGAAATGCATAGGCCTATACGACCAGGCCTATTTGAAAAGAACAATGTTATGGTTCATTATTATGATTCTTAACACATTCTGCAAAAACAAAAAGAAAACATACGTGTATTATTATAGGTAAGATGAGAACCTCAGAGCATCATATTCAAGTACCAAATCTACTGCATTTGATTTGGGTCTAATTCTTTCTGGGGTTTACCCATTCTTTATTGTTTACCCCTCAGTAATTTACTGCTATATTCTTACCAATATTGGACAGTAAGCCCAATATATACCGCGATGATCTTCCCGGCATCTTCTCCTGATGAGCGTTTATTGAAGAACCACTCTTTTGTTAACCCATGCTCAAATAATCCCTCGCATTATCTTTCCCTATCTTACCCTGTCAGTTTCGAACATCCTTTAAACACAATTTGTTTATTTGTTCTAATATGCACGACATAACGTTTATACATTAGCTAGAATTGTCCATAATAATTCAGAACCCCCCTTAACCTTACCCTTTTTCTCCATCTCTCTCCTCTTACTTCTATCTCTATACAATCTTCTCTACGCTCTCTTATTCTCTTTTTTCTCTACTCTCCCATTCCCTCCCCAGCACTTTCATTTCACCCTCCATCTCTTAGATTCATCTTCAAACTACCTTTTAAAAATACACAATGTACATTAACAAAGGAAAGAGAAAGCAGGGACTTGGGATACAACTACCTATTCCTTTTGTATCTGGCCTTTGTTTCTCATTACCCTTCCCACATTATGTAGACCAAAACAATGCAGATTATACCATGGATCGAGTTTATTTATAAAAAGGGTTATTTTTTAGCTTATCAGCTCCACGCACCTAAAACGGAAATGCGATGTTATTTGCTCAAAAGAACGCTGGGCTACTTTATTGTAAACACCCTTCTATTGTTTGTTGTGATTGAGGGATTACCTAATCCGCTAACGTGGCATAATTAATTATAGGTTCTCTATTATGCTGTTTAATCCCATGTAAAACGTAAAGAAAATTGTATCAATGGGTGAGTATGGAAACATAATAATAGACCCTTCATGTTACTGTATGTACATTTATTGAGAAACTGTGATTTTTGTTCTCTTCAAAAACTCGTTTTATTATGAAAGAAAGAAATACAAAACTGTTAAATGCATGCGTAATCAACATAAACAAGTTCAAAGAACAATGTTAATAACAACATCTACATTAATTTTACCCGTTTTATAAAAACGTTACCATCTCCGGAATATGACATTTTACTCGTGCGGTAACAGAAATAATAGGTTTACCCCTATTACTACAAGAACAGCTTTTCATATTATTCTATTTAAAAAAAGGTTTGCTTTTGAAAAATATAACAAAACGAAATTCCTATCAATGACGAAGTACGCTAGCTCCGTTTTCACATTGTTTCATGAAAAAATGTGTAAAATGGAAAAGAACAATTTTATGGATCATTAGTAGGCTTTTTTTACAGTTTACACGTTCTGCAAAAAAAAAAAATATATATAACATAACAGTACGTTCATTATACTGCTAGGTATGATAAGAACATTATATATTCACGTACGAAGTCTACAGAATTAGATACAGGTACATGGTCACATGTCATCTTCATATCACTTCTGGAGAATGGCGAAGAACAAACAAATATAATCCATCTCCGCACATGTAAATTCCAATACATCGTCAAGCAAACATATCCTGCATAATGTAAGAAAGGAGACAATAGACGATCTTCCTCATTTATATCTTAAATTAACGTTCATGAAAAAATAACAATTGTGGCAATTAAGGTAATCTTCAACAAGGAATCATAAAATAACTAATGACATGCAGCCAACTATGAAATTATCTAACAGCTCTGTAAGAAAACAACTAAAAGTCGTAACCTTAATAAATACTAAATCATCAACTCCAACTTCTAAACCAATATTGTTCATGACTATAAGAGTCAGAAACCGTTTCATATAGAATAAAATAGATGAAATAGAGCACGATCTCAGTTATCTGCTTTGTCGTGTAAAACAAACAATTATCTGCAAGAACAAAATCAGTTCCACACCGACCATGGAAATAACTCACTACTACCCCATTTAACAAAACATAAAGCAATGGTACTTTTATCTATTTGTCTGAATTTGAAGAAATTAATCAACGAGAAAATGCATAGGATGGGTTTTCATAGTGTAATCCAGTATTTACTGTAGACCCTGTACATTCCTTTAACTTTTATCTCCCTAGTTAAATTCGCTTTCGTGTACGCAAACCTGTTAATTAAGCAAATTTTTTCACCTAGGTACGAAAAAAAGGTAAAATACGATTGGTTTAGAGATATATCTGTGTCATGAATGAAATAGTGTATTAAGTTAAAAAAAATCGTAGTGATATCGCTCCGAGTTTTAGCAAAAGGCGATTACAGTCCGCTCACCAGTTCGACGTTGGATGCGGATATTTAAGCACTACACAAAAGTCCTTAACATACGAAATCTGACTTTAAATGTTCTGAAAACTCTCGTCGATGACCATGATATCTTCATCGGAGTCGTAATCGTTACACACAGCGGGCTCACTTGAGGGGTCATTTGCGACGTCATTCCCTTTATCCTTTGCCGCCGCGATTTTTGGTTGGAAGTCCGACGATTTGACGGGTGGCTCGTTTACATCAGAACCATCAGCCGACGAAGATTCGCAGAATGTTTTGCTCAATCTCACTTCGTCTTCTGCGATGTCGTGTGCGTCCAAGAGCGATTGGAACATCGAGCCGCCGGTAGAAATGTCGTAGACAAAGGAAGTCACTGCGTCGAACTTTTGTTGCGCGTCATTGTCGAGTGGACGATGTCGAGAGTCTTGCGACTTTTCGGCGCGATTCTTCCTCGAAGAAGCCACAGATCTCTCCTTGGATGTGTTATTCACAAATTTCATCATTGACAGTAAGATTGGTTCCGTGGGTGCCTTCAGAAACTCAAAATCAGAATCTTCCATGATGGAACTCTGGATCGAATCCGCATGTCTATCCGGAAGCTCGGCGGTATTTCCTTTCGAGACAGAATGTGACACCGAATCCATCGCCCCTTCCGCACTAATGTCTAAATGCTGCGTTAAGGACGAAGCTACCATTGCCGTTGGTGTCGTGACTGCCTTTGCCTGATCGAAGTCGACTTTGTTGCGCATTGTCTTCTTCACCCGACTTACGAATTTTCTAAGTGTAGTGATGCCGATACCACCGCGCTCTTTGATCCCGGGAATGCACTCGACGATGATCTTTCGAATGAATGGTACAGTCATCATGGGTGGGGTTGATGAGCGTGATGCCGGCATGCTTGTCTGCAATTGAAGGAGAAAAAAAGAGTCCTTAAAAATAAACTTGAGTTTTGGTAAATATGAAAAATAAATTCTCACAGAATCCAACGAAACTTGCCCTGAATGTTCAAGATAACAAATAAATGACATATGTGCTAAACGAGTAAAGTATAGTGGCTGAGTAATGAGCATAGAAGATAAGGATATCAATGTAATAGTATATTTGTAAAGCGCTTAGAGACAGTATTAAGCGCTATATAAAAATTAAATATTATTATTATTAATAATGTAAGTAGGCCCAAAACCACAGCCAGGTCCACCGCTAATAGCAGTCGTGGTTTTTATTGAAGATGATGCCCTGTAGGTTTTTGTGCATATGTTTTTATTTCACTAATTTAAAAAACCAATCTACTGCAGGATCTAGAGTAAATCATAGCAATAAGTTTCTCTCAAAGTACGATTCCTATACCAGAGATCAAGATTATAGGTTCTAACGGAATAATTTTATGTAAATATTCCACGATTGACGATTCTTTACATCAATGTTAGGCCAAATGACAAAAATGAAATGTTTCTCGTCCCCACCCACCTCCTTTTTTTTTCTTCACCATTTATTATTCAAACTTCAAAAGGTTGGTATGAAGAGATGTAAGCCAAAACTTTCTTTAAATTTGACATCCTTTAACTTTACGAAACTTCTATTTTCGTACACTTATTACATTATATTGACAAGGTTTTTAGAATGATGTTAGTAAAAACACAATTTTCTCGTTAGAAAGTGAAAATTACTAATACAACTTTGATGTAGTCCTGTGAAAAAGAAATATGTTATCAATTGATAAGGATATCTACCTAATAAGCATTTTTTCAACGAGTTAGTATTTTGCATCGAAATAACAATTTATATTTAATAGATGAAACGTCGGCTCTATAATCCTGTTATAACCTCCTTGGGATAAAAAAATTTCTTCTTGAAATCCTATTAATTTATTGCCTATTTATCATGTTTGAATATAGAGATAATGTTTTTTTCTTTGAAGAAAAACATATACATGCTCTATTCAATAAATTCATCATCAGCCAATCATTGAACGGAAGTGCCTTTACTGGCTTTAGATATACCAATTTCTGTATCGCCATTTTCAAAATCATAACTAGGTCTAGAACTCTAGATCTAGTACTAGACCGTAGGCCTATTTTTGCCGCAGATCTCATTTTCGTCATTATTGAAGAACATTGAAATAAAAAAAAGTCATGTAGACCTACACTATTTACCTGCTCATGATTAAGGCACCAGAAGATGACGGGTAAGAGATCCGGGAACTGGTCCACCAGGAGCCTTCGTGTGCTACTAGTATTTGGACCTCGTTTGCGGAGTGGAACCTTCTGCTTGTCACCGTCAGCACTGCGAGGTCGATCGTCTTCGCGACTAGGATAGCAACGACGATAAATATGTGGAATATCCTCCGTCGCGTCACCATGGTAACCATACGGCAAGGAGTGCGATGTCGGTCGAGAACATAGGATACTGCCAGGCGCTGGGTAGTAGCCACATGGAGAGTGGGCGTGGTAGCCTGTAGTAGGATGAGGTTGGTATCCAAAAGGAAAGTGGCCTGTATACTCAGGAGGAGGGTAGGAGGGATACTCGGGTGGAGGGTAGGCGGGATAGGCCAGTGGGGGGTAGACGGGATAGATGCGCGGATACAAGGAGGATTGATGGTCATCTGGAGTAGAAAAGTTATTGGTGGCAACAGCAATACTAGATGCAGAGTTCGTCACACCTCTCGAGAAAGACTCATCATATTTGTCACAGTTCTGGGATGTAGGTGGGGGAAATGATGTCTGCGAAGATGCTTTTAGAGTACTGTCCATCTTTGATGCCGAATTCATGACCATGGACGCAGTTGAGGGCGCGGTTACTTCATGATCAATACCCTTGCCGACAGCTTCGTTGACAAGCGTGGTCAGCCAAGCTGACGCTACCATCTCGACTGGGTATGCCCGATCCTCTCCACTAGGACTAGGAGTAGGAGCCGACTTCATTTTACTGGCGATGGGCGCCGATGAGACCAACCTAACCGAATTCGCGCCCTCGTCGACGGATCCTGGCATGGCAGATTTGAATGACTTTAAAGGTGGCTGAAAAGGGCCTGGACATACCAACGGCGAATTCATGCACATGGTCCATGAAGTACTGGTAGAACTAGAAGAGAATTGATCCGGTTCGGTATTTTGAAGAAGATCAGGCGTGGGGTACAGCATTGTGTTGTCATGGTTATTTTGTAATGAGACTGGACTGTAGCATCCATGACTGTAGCCATGACATCGACAGTACTGTGGACATGGTTTCACCGATTCGACAGGTGACATGAAGATGGGCAAAGCGTCAATAGCAACCGAAGTCGAAGTTGACGTCGAGCTGGGCAATGAAATTGTAGACGATGAGACTTCATCAATGCCATCAAAGCTGGTCAGGCTTGAGCCCGGTTGAGCACAGCCTGGTTGAGCATGGTAATTTAGATCTTTGGGTCTGCTACTATCCTCATCAAGTTGACGACTTGCTGCTAACGGATAGCGCCATGAATTTCGACCTACATCGAGCTCATCGTACGTGGTATTCGATGTCGCTATAATATTCTCAGAACAGTCACTGGTCGAGACGACTTGGCCCGTGGATCGAGTATCGCATGATAACAAATAGCCCGATCCTGCAGAGGCGAACTGATGTGGATGGTTAGGCCTAAACGTGACATCATCGACTCGGGAATCGCTTTCAACGATGTTTTGGTCCGACGCCGCCACCGTCTTATTACATGGATAACTGAGACCGCTACTCCAGGGTGTAGGCAAGCTCCCCAAGGCCGTTAGAGGAGAGGGGAATGTGCTGTTGGGCTTTGCTGCCGAAGGCGAAACCCAGATTGTCGACTTTGACGACATCTCAAATGAAGTCTTGCTCGTAGTCGTACCCGTAATATCCATACTAATACTATCATGAGATATCAACTGTAACAGTTTATCACCTGTTTGTCCCAACACAGACCTATCACTTTCTAATGAAACCATGATTGCTAATTTGTTTAGTTATTTACAAGAGCTTATTTCACAGTAGGACCAGGTAGGACGCATGTATTTGCCTCAACTCCGTTGAATTGTGTGTATGCATTAATTATACATGAAGAACAATGTATATATATGTAACACGTGTGTTTGATGTCTTATGTTCAAGCGCGCGCGCCAAAGAGAGGAGGAGAGAGAGAGAGAGAGAGAGAGAGAGAGAGAGAGAGAGAAAGAGTGGTGTTGCGCAATATAGCTGTCGGCTTTCGAAGTTTATTTGAACATGTACATGTGTAGCGAGATACTGCAGACTCCGAAAGAATCCTCGTGGGAAACGTTGAAGATAGTAGTGGGCAATACTAGTAGTCTAAAAGTGTAGACGCTTTGGGGGTCTTTTTTCCAGAGTGTAGACTAGTACTAGTAGCACTAGGAGGAAAAAAAAAAAAAAATATTGCAGGGGATAGTCCGCATTGCTCCTGAAGTTCAAAATTCATATAGGCCTATTTAATCAACGGATTCGAGAAAGGGACTCTCTTGAATAAGCTTAGGATTATGGCATTTGTTTCTTCTTCTCCGTCCTATCATGACATGAACCTACTAGTACTACGCCGACTGGCCTATAATATATTAGTAGTAGACCATCATCTACTTCATCAACTTGACTGCCAAACAACATCCCGCAGTAAAACACAAAACAATACTCGCCTGATATCTCTAATATGTTGAGTCCATGATAAAATAAAGACCAAAATGTATCACAACCATGAAATGTTCCAATATATTTTCTGCATCTGTAGCCTGTAGTGTAGGCATATCATAACGTTCAGTATCATTCGTGATGGCTACCCTCCCCCCTCCCCCCTCCCCCTCCCCTCTCTCTCTCTCTCTCTCTCTCTCCCTCTCTCCCCCCCCCCCCCCCCCCCCCTCTCTCTCTCTCCCCCCTCTCTCTCTCTCCCTCTCTCCTGGCCGGGGCCACCTGCTAACCATTCACATGAATTTCATCCAACTCGTAAACGCTACAGACCACTCTCGCCATCAAGTGTCCTTGTACCAAATTTGAAAGGTTGTGAACCGGAATGTTAACATTATGTCATAACAAGAAGTTCTTGGTCATAACAGGGACATGCTCCTTGGTCATATTTATAAGAAGCAGAGTGTGTAGGTCCATGGCAGGTCCATGGTGATGACCCCCTCCTCATTTAATTGATATTCTTGTGTGAGTTGGGCCAATTTCAAGTGACTGGCTAATTAACTCTAATATAGGCCAAACAACTCTAATATAGGCCAAACAACTAAATAGGCGTAATTCACTACCTTTATAATTATTCATGGTAATCATTCTCATAAAAGACTCTTCTCTTGTCGAGACCCAGTCTTCCATATGTATGTGCATAGGGAAACATATCTTTCTCATAACATAACATTAAAATTGGAGAACATTATATTATATTTGTATTATCATTTATTTATTATTATTGTTATTATTATTACTATCATCATTATTTGTATTATTGTTATTACTAATGTTATTATCATCATTATTTACAGGTCGTGTGGCAGCCCTCAATATTCTTGGACAGAAGGTCGAGATGGAGACGGTACCATTTTTCTGGACCCAGATTTTTGGCAAAAGTGTCAGATATGCAGGTAAGAAAGGTGTGATGGTGATATGATTGCCTGCAAATATAAATATATCTATTTGTCAAAAAAAAAAAATAAGTTAATGCCCCTCTCCAAACAGAGGATGGACTTTCACGAACCAAGGTATAGGGTATTGATTCAAAGAATATGTACGTCAAGTAAAAAACATTTGGAAATGTGAGTATTCCCGTAGGATAATGTCAGTTGATGGAAAATCATACTTTTCGATACATTATTAAAACATTCCTAATTTCATTGTTAAATCGGGTACCTATTTTGTTTTAATTGAGTTGTTGGATTTAGGTACAAATTTATTTTTATTTCAATGAAGTAATAACTTTTTACATTTTTGACCATTTCTAATCCCCCCCCCCCCCATTCTCTCTCTCTCTCTCTCTCTCTCTCTCTCTCTCTTTCTTTTTCTTTCCATCAGGATTCAATGAAGGATTTGAGGATGTTATTGTTACAGGTGATCTAAATGAACTCAAGTTTGTAGCTTATTACATCAAGTGAGTCATCATTTTTTTTTCACAAACTTTTCTTGTCTACTTTTAAAGACATAATCTTAGCAGTCTCTATGTTAATTGCATCATAATTTGCTTATACCCCAGAGTTGATGTGTATTCATTCTTAATATTGCACACAGCAAAATATGATGATCAATCAAAAAAAGAAAAGAAAAAAGGAATTGAGGCTTGACTTCTAGACACTTAAAGCACCAATGTTCTATGTAAATGTTTGCAATTGTGCTAACTGCTACTTCTCATTCTTTATTTATATCTTGTACAATCTAATCATACTGTTGAATGTTTAAATGATATATTCTGCCATATTAATGGATTCAGTCTTGTAGTAGATTTTGTTATTCTTTTAATTTCTGTGTATGGTATGAATTGTAAAAATACCATGTAAAAACTTCTTTGTGGTTTTCAAACATTGGGTGAAAAGAGAAATGAATGAATGAATAATTCATATCGTTGTAATATTATCTTGCACACACCCAGGGACGAGACTGTGGTAGCCATGGCTAGTATGAACTCTGACCCCATCGTGTCACAGTTTGCCGAGCTGCTAGCAAGTGGAAGGGAGCTGAGTAAATCAGAAATACAGTAAGTTTACTGTTCATGTTTACAAAGTAAAAATAGTAAAGTACCCGATAGTATCCTGCAATATTGGCAACAGCTCGTTTGAAAAAAGTTTGGGCAGAGTAAAGCGGATAAACACAGTTTTCTCTACAAATTAGCATAGTAAATCTAAAGTTATATCCTTCTATATATGATTCAATGCATTAAACATATCTGAGAGGGAGAAAAAGATTAAACAGCTAGAATTGTTTCATTGATGCTCTTGACAAGTGGCATATATTGAGGGGCATGGGGCGCAACAATGAGGGAGAGAGATAATGAGTGAGAAAGGGAAGGAATGTGGAAGTAAATGCTAGAACTCCCTCCTATTTCTTCCCTCTGGTCATGCAATGGCCTTGCTGATCTCATCTATCCCTTTTATCTCTTAACTTCAGGTCTGATCCAAGTCAATGGTCAAGCAAGTTATGAAGTCCCACCAGTCTATTAAAGACTCTCAGCCTTTATGCTGCTACATAACATACCGTTACCATCAAGACCGCCGAGTCGTCAGTCAGCTGATCATCGGAGCCAATCAGCGATGAGCATTATCATCAATCTGAGTGCCAAGCAATGAGAGACCATTAATATAGAGCTTCTTTTTCTTTAAGAATCCATGTCAACTCATAACTTATGTTTACAAATTTATATATCTGTAAAAAGCCTCACTGTGATCATTCATCTTTGCAGTAAAAACACAACCCCAGAACAATTTTCTTTGGAAGCCCTGAATTTTTAAAGCAATTTCTTTGTTAGTGAAATCTTATCTGTAATCTAAAGAAGAAATCTGTACTACAAACATTGTATTTTGAACAGGAAACTTTTTTCCATACTTATCGGCTTAAATACATGAAAGAGGTTCAATTTTTACCGTGGTCTGAATCATTTCTTATGAAGATTTAAAACCATGAATTAGGATCAACCTCTATCCTATGTTTACTTTTTTTTTTCTCTTTGATTTTCTGATGGTTCTATTGCTGAATTTCATAAATTTGTACAGCCACAAGACTGATCAATGGCAGTGACATTGCCTTAGATGTGATCTCCTGTAAAGCATGGTTTTGTCTCATATCTAAATCCCACACGGCTCTGGAAGCTGATACAGCATTATTTTGGTTCACTGTAATGATTGTATGTTTGATTTGAAATTGCAATTTCAAACCTCAGATCATAATATTCAGCCGTTTACAACTAGCCATATTGAATTGAGATCATGAAACATAAACCCTCATTATGCTTCGATGTGTAACAAATAAATGTATGTATATTTTATATGTTTAATTGTAATATGTTTGATAAAGGTCTGCCATGTTTGATTTTTATACTGTTCCTAAAAAAAACAAGTAACTTGGACTCACTTAGTACTACCGTAACCCTTTGTTTTTTCCATGAATAGAGGCAATTGTAAAATGATATATATATATATAAGAGGTCAACTATTGATTCTACATGACATTGTTGAGATACTGTAGGATACCAAAATATAACCTTGATTATAGCCAGTTCAACGTGATCCACCGCAGTACTTTGTTTATATTCATTGTACAAGTGGGTAGAAGTGAGAAAGCAACTAAAACAAAAGAGGGAATATTTGTATTTACCTGAGATTTTCTTGTGTGTGTTTTTATAGAAATATTCATATTTTAAGTATTCAGCCATATGTACTGAAGTGATTACTGTGTTAACTGGTACTATCTCTCTCTCTTCTCCATCTGCCCTTCCTTTCTCTCCCCCCCCCCCCCCCCCCCCCTCTCTCTCTCTCTCTCTCTCTCTCTCTTACTTCCCAAATCATATCATATTCATCTTTTGAAATGATAACTTTACAAGTATAATTGAAAATAATATATCTGGCTTTCTACAACCCCATTAACTAAAAATAAATAGATAATGGCTCATTTCTCTTCTCTCTTTTTTGACATGGCTCATTACAACCATCAACTGAGAAGGAGTTGGGTTAAAAAATGACATGTTATTTGCATGTTATTTGTAAATAATGTAAAAATATGATGTGAGAGACTGCATGGCAGCCCCAGTATTAACCCATGTGTTTTTCAATGTATGTACAGGTACCACTTTTTTGTTAAATAAATAAATCTCTTTCTTACGTGCCTTATCAAATAGCAACTATGCATTGCATGTAAATTCTCTTTCACACATACCGGTGTTATGATCATGTGTAAATAAAAGGCAAGTTCGGTGAGAACAAAGTATCTACAGTATGCTCATAACAAAGGTCCTTGGGCATACTTACTAACCATGTGTTATAAGATTAAGATACAGAAATGTGATTCATACTACTAGTACTAGGATCCTTAAAGAGAAGGTTGAGTTCTGGGAAGAGGTAAAAGATAAATGTGTAAGCGTTACCATTGTTATTATGCAAGTGTGGAAGCTAGAACATCAGATAAAAATGTTCCCTGAAAAGCATGGCTCTTCCAATGCTATCATATTCTAAATATGGCATGTATCATCATAAAAATCAGAGTGG